TTTGTGATGGATCACCCCGCAAGCTTCCATGGCAGAAGTGGGAATGTGAACCTGGGTTGCTCAGAGTCCTACTCCACCACTCTCCAACCCCGTGAAGCCTGAGATACGTGACTGGCCCAAGGTCACCCAATGAGCTTCCGTGGCAGAGTCAGGTTCTGAATCTGGGTCTCCCAGAGCTTAGTCACAAGAATATAGTTAAGCATTTTGTAAACAGGGACGTGCTTCAGAACAATGAAGGGAAGAATTTCTTCCTTTCTGGAAAATAAGGAAAACTGAAGAGAGAACCATGAGGTCTTTAAACTTTGAATCTCAGTCTCTCTTTACAGAATGCAGCTTTTGACTCTAGGCTACTTAAGAAACTTGGGGGGGGGGGGCTAAAGAATTAATGTGCATTAAACTCCCACAATCCACTAGGTTGAAGAGGAATCTGCATAAGAAGCAAGTTCAGGGTGCTTCAGACAAGTTTCAGGAGACCTTTAGGAGACTAACCGCAGAAGTTACAAAGAGAAGGGTCCTGGTTAAGACGGTGAGCTTGGTCTGAGAGCTGGAACGTTTCCATGAAGCAAGCACTGGAGTCGGACAAAGCCCGCCCACCCATGCCACAGAGAAGATGCCTCTAGATCACACTTAAGAACCCTTTTGCTGCATAAACTGCAATGGAAAGAATGTACGAGAAGTCGCGGAGAGGTGGCACGCACTCCCTGACGAAGTTTCACTTCAGCACTATTCACGCCTACCTGCGGAGCGACTTCCCCAGCAGCAAAAAACAAACAGAAACAGAGTTGCCACTCGCCGCAGCCAGAGAGACTCCATCGCGAGAGATTCCAGCCCGCGAGAGATTCCAGCTTGCGCACACCGCGGTCAAACACAGGGATTTCCATTCAACTGGTTCAACAGACAGGGAAAGACTCCACCCACATTTCCAGCAGTTGGTGCACATGCGCGTAAGATGCGGGCCACATTTCCCGATTTCTGGGATTTGTAGTTTGCGTATAGCAAGCAGCGCGAGGGAAAGTCTTATACGACGCCTCCACGTTCCGTGTTTGACACAGTAGGACATATTTTGGCGAGGGCAGGGAAGCACTCCCGCAGAAATCAGAGGGTAAATATACCACACTAACTTCCCAGTAAACCTGCATGAACGTGAACAAAGGAGATTAGATCGGTTGTGTAGTTAAATACACACTTTGCTGCCCAAGGCGCCCTCTTCCTATGCTGCCCCTGGAATGAGCAGTGCGGGGGGGGCGCCTCCCGTGCCACCCCTTTGGCATAGCAGGAGCAAAACCAGCAAGAGGCTCTTTCTGTTACTTGGCTGAGGGTCTGGGTAAAAGTCGGATCTAAATGGATCCTCATGAATTTCATATGATTTTAACATTGAAGCGAAATAAAACCACCATTATATTGTAGGTCATGTGTTAGTCTACAAGGGGCACCACAAAAATCACGCTTCCACAGATTCGTGGCACCACAACACTGCAACAACAAGATTCCAAAGCACGGATCCTCGTGGATCCTCAGAGTTTTTCAATTGAGTAACCTGAAGCACCATCAAATCACATAACGTCCGCCACAGCTTGCACCAAAAAAATCATGAATCCACGGCTTCGTGGTGAATCCGTTCTGCAAAAACATGATTTTGAAGCACAGATCCTCATGGATGTTTGGGTTTTTTGTGTTGGGACACCCCAAACATACCATTAAACCCCATATCATGTCCATGGCCACAGCCTGCACCACAGAAATCACAGTGCAACAGCTCTGTGGCAACACCATCCTGCAAAAACATGGTTCTGAAGCATGAATCCTCATGGATCCTTATGATTTTTGCATTGGGTCACCCCAACTTCACCATCAAATAATATGCCTTGTCCATGGCCACAGAATGCACCACAGAAATCATATGTCCACAGCTCTGTGGCGACACCATTCTACAAAAACAAGGTTCCAAAGCATGGATCCTCAGGGTTTTTCAATTGGGTCACCCCAAACACACCATCAAATCACATAGCACATCCATGGCCACAACTTGCACCACAAAAATCACAGATCCTCAGCTTCGTAGTGAATCCATTCTGCAAAAACATGATTCTAAAGTACGGATCCTTATGGATTGTTGGGATTTTTGAGAGGTCATTCTGGCTCTCCCATGTCTTCTTAGGGGCTCTTTAAAAAGTTATGGCTGCGGGCGGCGGCAGCAGCGGTAACGGCAGTGGCAACAGCCGGGGGACAGGGGCGCGAAACGTTCCCCCGCCTCTCTGAGCCCCGGGGTGGTGGCCTTGGAGTCCTAGGGGCAAATTGCACCTCTCACGAGAGGTCATTCTGGCTCCACCAGGTCTTGTTAGAGGCTCTTTTAAAAGTTATGGCTGTGGGCGGCGGCAGCAGCGGTAACGGCAGCGGCAGTGGCTGGGGGAGGGGCGCGAAACGTTCCCCCGCCTCTCTGAGCCCCGGGGTGGTGGCCTTGGAATCCTAGGGGCAAATTCCACCTCTTACGAGAGGTCATTCTGGCTCCCCGAGGTCTTGTTAGGGGCTCTTTAAAAAGTTATGGCTGCCGGCGGCGGCAGCAGCGGTAACGGCAGCGCCAACGGCTGGGGGGGAGGGGCGCAAAACATTTCTCCACCTCTCTGAGCCCCGGGGTGGTGGCCTTGGAGTCCTAGGGCCAACTGCTCGAACCGCAAAAATCACGGATCCACAGCTTTGTGGCAACACCATTCTGCAAAAACATGGTTCTGGAGCACGGATCCTCATGGACCCTCAGGGTTTTCCAGTTGGGTCACCCCAACATCACCATCAAATAACATATCATGTCCATGGCCACTACTTGCACCAGAGAATTCATGACATGCCCATGCCAACTGCTCGAACTGCAAAAATCACGGATCCACAGCTTTGTGGCAACACCATTCTGGTGTTTCTGTGTTCAGTCACCATGTACTCACTATCAAATCACATATCATGTCCACAGGCACAGCCTGAACCACAGAAATTATGGGTCCACAGTCTCGCGGCAAAACCAATAAGCCAAAACATGATTCTGAAACACGGATCCTCAAGGATCCTCAAGATTTTCGTAATGGGTCACTCCAAACACACCATCAAGTGACATAATATGTCCATGGCAACTGTTTGTACCGCAAAATTCACAGATCCATGGCTTCATGGTGACACAGTTCTGCAAAAACGTGGTTCTAGAGCACGGATCCTCATGGATCCTCAGTGTTCTTGCATTGGGTCACCATGAACTCATCATCAAATCACATATCATCTCCAAAGGCACAGCTTGAACCACAGAAATCATGAATCCACAGCTTCGTGGCAATACCATGGGGCCAAAAGATGGTTCTGAAGCCATGTATACATGACTTTTGCAGTGCAAGCTGTGCCCATGGACATGATATGTGATTTGATGCTGAGTTCATGGTGACCCAATGTAGAAACAGTAAGAATCCATGAGGATCCATGCTTCAGAACCATGTTTTTGAAGCATGGTTTTGCAACAAAGCCCTGGATCCATGAATTCTGTAGTGGAAGTAGTGGCCATGGACATGATATGGGATTTAATGGCAAGTTTTGGGGTGTCCCAACACAAAAACCTCAAGCATCTATGACAATCCGTGCTCCACGTGATGTTTTTGCTTAACGTTGTCACCACGAAGCTGAGGATCCATGAATTTTGCAGTTTAAACAGTTGGCATAGACATGCTATGTGATTTGTGTGGTGTGGTGTGTTTGAAGTGACCCATTATGAAGATCCATGAGGATCCGTGCTTCAGGACCATGTTTTGGCTTCATGGTGTTGCCACGAAGCTGTGGATCCATGATTTCTGTGGTTCAAGCTGTGCCTGTGGACATGATATGTGATTTGATGGTGTGCTCATGGTGACCCAATGCAAGAACACTGAGGATCCATGAGGATCCATGCTTTGGAACCATGTTTTTGCAGCATGGTGTTGCCATGAAGCCGTGGATCCATGAATTCTCTGGTGGAGGTAGTGGCTATGGACATGATGTGATTTGATGGTGATGTTGGGGTGACACAACTGAAAAACCCTGAGAATCCATGAGGATCCGTGCTCCAGAACCATGTTTTTGAAGAATGGTGTTGCCACAAAGTTGTGGATCCATGATTTTTGTGGTTTGAACTGTTGCCATGGACATGTTATGTGATTAGATGGTGTGTGGGGGGGGTGCCCCATTGCAAAAACCTTGGGGATCGATGAGGATCCGTGCTTCAGAATCACATTTTGGCTTAATGGCTTTGCC